TAAAAAAACTGCTTAACTTTTGTCCTAGGTCATTAAGGCTGCTTTGAACCAGGTAAAGGCAATTGCTCAGGGCAGTATCACTGATGAAGATGTCACAAGGGCTAAGTAAGTTGGTACAAAAAATGTCTAATAAACACTTTACCTCAGTGATACTCAGACTGGGGCTTTCAAGCCGCAAATGGCTCTTTAATGAATCTCCTGGGGCCCTTTGCTGCAGTTGATATTAAAACACTGATTTAATTGTTAACCAATCAGGATGCTTTCTGTTATTAACCAATTGTAGTTGATAAAATAATACTTGGTCGGTCATTTTTCTGTGAGAATTTATATATATTAATATACTGTTTAAATATGAATATATAGTACTATAGTAAATGAAACAATGAATTCACACTACTGTAACTCTTTTAGATAATGTTGATCACTAGTTCGGCTCTGAGGTCTGTGCGTCACTGCTTTCATTTGTTATAAAAGTGGAGTTATAACATCACATGCTCAGCTTCCTGTCAGTAAGCATTTATAAAGAGCCTTCTGTAGGGCAACGGTTTCAACTGTGTAGGTGTGCAGTATAACTGCCTAGGTCGAGACTCATTGCTCTGTAATTATACCTAGCAAAAGCATGTGGGGATGGGAATGATATACACTCCCTACCCAATAAATCTTCTTTTTTTAAGTTAAAGTACTACTGTTGCTGTTAGGAAAATTATAGTAAATTCTATGCTAGCCGCAATTCCTATAGAAACTTGTTAAATCAGCAAAAAGTGTTCTTAAAGAATAACTTACTGATAACTACTTCTTCATTAGATATAAATGACAGCTGTCAGCAGAAGCTGAGATTCAATTTTAGCACACAAGAATATATGATTCCAGTTTAAATACTTCTCTCAACTGCTTTATTTAGGAAATTCCCTACAAGATAACACTGAGATGATTCCCCAACCAGCAATATTTAGTATGCACTTACATCTTTAAAACACTAATAGTGAGGCCTTGCAAATGGTATTTTTAAAATGTTTTGAAAACATAAAACATTAAATTGGTGGTATTGCGTTATCCAAGGACATTAAGTATCTAATCTTGAAAGCCCTATAAAGTAGGAAAGTAATATTGCCACTTCTCTGATGGCAAAACTAACAGTTTTAGAAGTTCCTGATTTGCAGGCCTGCAAACACAATAGCTAGCTAATAATACAGTGGGGTGCAACTGTAATAGTTAAGGTGCAGTTAATCTCTGGGATTGTATTGTGATTTTTCTGTTCTAAATTAAAGCAGTAAGATTCAACTACTATCCTAAATTACAGAGTATAATCTATATTGCAATTAAAAACCTGCAGCTGAACCTGTGCCAGCTGACTTGGGCTAAGGGTCTGTTTCATTGCTGTGTAGATGTTCGGGCTTGGGCTGCAGCCCAAGTTCAGGGACCCTCCCAACTGACAGGATCATAGTGCCCAAGCTTGAATGTCTATACCACAATTAAACAGCCCCTTGTGCCAGCAGACATGGGCTCAGGCAAAGCCAGCCACGGGTTTCTAATTGCAGTGTAGGCATACCCATAGAGTTTAAAGCCAGAAGAAACTACCAGATCATCTAATCTGACCTTCTGTATGTAATGGCCACCACTACCACCCAGCACCTGCACATTAAACCCAACATCCAAAATTAGGCCCAAGTATTACAGCCCACAGTAGATTCAGCCGCAGGCAGCGAATAGGAGTCACCGAGTCTTGCATATATAAAATCTATTTATTATAAGATTGTATGTAGAACTTTAAATTGGTATTACACTTTGCATGATTGCATACAAAACATGATAAACAAATGATTGTATCCTTTCTCATCAGCCAGCTGTTAAATCTTCTACCTGTTAATTTATTTATAGCACTGAATACAAATCTTCCTAATATATATAGATAGATAGATGTCACTACTTTTTTTTCTTCTGCAGTGTTTTTCTCCATATTATCTTCCTTGGAGTATGTTGCTAATTTTTCCTGTAGTTGGGGAGTAGTTTAAAAAAAAAAAAAAGGTAATTAGTGTTTGATGCAAGTATTAGTGGCCCTAGCTGAATTCATTCGTAACATTAACGTTCCTTCTCAATTATAGTATGTGCCACAGATCACCATTTTGGATTAAACTGTTCCTATTCTACTTTTAAAATTAAAAAATAAACACTAACTTTCATAAACTAGATCGAGACTAGCAATGGGAATCTGCTTGAGGCAAATAAATAATATAAGGGAACAAAAAGTATTATGCTACAATTCTTTAAACAAAGCACTAACCTATTGTACAGAAAAGTGTGAATTGTTTTTGTTAATTGTTTACACCTTGCCGTAAAACTACTGTCTATACTTTTCTAGATGAGACCTGATAATTTAGTTTTAAACCTAAAACCAGAAATCTCTAATTTTCAAAAAACTGCCAAAGCTAAAACTTGAACATCCATGGCTAGAAAATACTGAAATTATCACATTCTTTAAATTTGTTTGAAAGTAGCCCAACAAAACTTGAAATATTCACATTCCAGCCAGAAGCTTTAATAAAAAACAAACAAACAAACAAAATCCCTAACTACTGGGGAAAAAGGGTACCTTGGGCCCTGCTTGAGAGTTCCATCTTTTGTGCCTGCCTCTAGTTGGTATCTGACCCTTGAAAGTTTTTCCAGAGCTTTCTGATCATTGCAGGGGGTGGGAGGTCCTCTGCCACATTACCTCTCAGCTTTCTGGAATTTGTCCTTTTGAATAGTTCTAGTGCCTCTTTGGCTGATCATATGTTTTAGGCTCCCATACTCATAAGAGAGAGCTTCTGTTTCGACACAGCAAGAGACTTTAAATCATTGCGCTTGAAGAGCCATAAAAATATCCCAGTATCGCAGGGTGCTCATCCCCAGAATGCTAAGGCTTCAGAGGTGGGCATTAAAGCAAAAGTGAAGTTAAGAACCCCAAGTTGCACAAAACTGCACAACTGGGAGTTCTAATTTAGTCTATAACTACTGAGTAACATTGGAAGATTTACTTACTCAGATATTCTCAACACTTTGTTTGGCAGAAATCATCTGAAAGCCAGGTACTTGATGTTAGTTGAGACCTCAGACGGATTACTTGATGAAATCGGTTCCGAGGCATTGGCATCTGGTATATATACATCACCAACAGCTGTAATTCAAAACATTGACTCCATAGCCACTGCTGATATTGTGAATGTAAGTAAATGTGTCCATATGCATTGTTTACAGAATGATTCCATATAAGCTTTGCTATGCACAATTAAGACTAGCATACTTTTCTGGGTGTATAAAATATATATACAGGGACCCTGTAAAAAGTGGTTCTATGATGCTTACAAGTCTCTGCTAGCTATGCCTTTTGAGTTGTCTGCTTAGTTTACTGATGGGAACAATCTTTAATATTGTATATGGCAAAGTCAATATAGCTGTGAGAATTTAGCTGAATTCTACCATTACAAGTAAATGTAGAAACAATTCCAGCTATTTACCTAATCATACAAAACTACGGTTAGGAGTTGTTCCACTGATGTCAGTAGAGAATACTACACCTGATTAAGGTTATGGAGGATTCAACCCTAGGGTGTGATTGTAAGAAGCAAAATGAATACCTCACAGTATTTTATTGAGACGCTGAGTAGTGGTAATGAAAATTATAATAATCTTGATTTCTGAACTGAACAAATTCCATCTGGAAATCTAGTGGGGAAAACAAATCTAGAACATTCAAATCTCTTCACAAAGCTGTTATTACTCATTTGAATGACAGTAGTGCCCAGCGGCTCCATTGTGCTCAGAACTGTATAAACATATAGTAAGAGATGGTCCCTGCCTCAAAGAGCTTATAATATAAATAGACAAGACGGACAAACGGTGGGAGGGGCATAGAGTTCATAGAGCACCAAAGTGACTTGCCCGGGTCATACAGGTCGTCATTGGTAGAATTGGGAATAGAACCCAGGTCTCCTGACTCTCACTTCAGTGATTGATACACTGGACCTTTCTGCTGCTTTTTTTTTACCTGAATAGAAAATATTTTCTGTTAGGCATATGTATGACCACTTCAGAGAGCTGGGAAAAGTTGCTACTTTTCTACATTCTTCAGGCTGATATCAATCTGTCAAACTGAGTCAGTTTAGACAGCTTATTAAAAATCATCACTCTAAGAAATGATACCACATTGCTGATTCCATAAATCAGTTGAAGCTGGGACTCTGAAGCAATGAGACAAGCTTGTTCAGTGTGCCTAATGGAATCTAAGTGTGACTGTTTCCTTAATGTCCAATTTTTATTTATTTCTTTTCAGGCTGCAAAGAAGTTTGTTGATGGGAAGAAATCAATGGCAGCTAGCGGGAACTTGGGAAATACCCCTTTTGTTGATGAGTTGTAGTAGGAAACAAAACTGAGGCAGATTCAAAGTGGACTGTTCTCACTGTATGCCAATTATATTATACATAAGTTACAATCAACCTGTTTCTGAATTCAAATGTCAAGAATATGAATCTAGATAATTAACTTGTGGGCTTGCATATATTGAATAAAGTGCTGAGTTCATATGCTTAGTTTTTGTTAATATATTTATCTACTGAAAGTAAGGTCTGTATAAGTATGGAAACATTGAACATTATTGATTAAAAATATTTAAATATAGTGAAACAATGAGTTGGCCTTTAGGTGTGTGCCTTACAAAAACTACCAGAGATTAATAATAGGCTAACTACATTCTTGATGCAGATTAAATTCGTAATTGCCACAGTTAATATCCCAGTTATATATCCTTAACACATTCAAGAATAGTTGTTGGTAAAATTGCCATTTGCACCATATTACCTTAAGTAAATTATCAGACTTACCTTTAAAAGCTGAAAGCAATATACTGCAGCTCTAGCACTTGCCTGCTGTACCTTGATCACTGGACTCACCGAAGCAGCATGTTTAATGTTCCCTTCACAGGTAGGATTGATGGAGATTTTAGCAGGTTTTTTCTTAAGATCTGGAAGAGTGGCTTTGGATAGCAGCTATCATCTTAGAATCCAGATTTCCAAATATCCTAGGCAGTCAAGGCATGCTATGCTAAATCTTCAAATTACCTAATTTCAAAATCAATATTTTGAAAGTGAACCTTCAGCTGATAAAGTGCTTCAGAAAAATCCCATTTCTGAAGGTTTAAAATTGGATGTGACCATTCAGTTATTCCAAAATACTGGCAAACTCTTCAAGCCAAAATGCATCTGATATAGAGGAAGAAGATGATGTTGATTCGCTGTCGTGTGTTTCCATAGTCCAGTATGAAGATCTAATGCCATCAGTAGCAAAGTCAGAACTATACCATGCATCAGAATCTTTATGAATTATAATGTCACATCCAATATCAGCACCTACAGTAAATGTGTGTTTTTTTCTTTTAAATGCATGCCAAGTTTTCGAAATTGATGGCAATTCTTTGGTAGAATCATAACAAAATGATTGTGTAGTTTTGTATCTAAAACTTCCATCAGAGTCTCCATCTTCATAATCATCACTGCTTGTCCACGTGTCATCTTTTGTCTCACTGTCTTTACTTGAAATGCTAAAAATGTACAAGAGTTACGTAGCTTTAATTACAAGTTCTTTACTTGTGATAAGGGTGTCAAAATTGAAATATTTGATTTGTGCATTTTTGTGTGTGTATTCTTCTGCTTGGACTTAACATAATGCTACAACATCTGGGTTTTAAACAACAAAAGGGAATGTCAATTTAAATATCTTTCAGTAAAATGAAAGCTATCCTTGTTTCATTCAGAATACTAAAGAATTTGACTTACTGACTTAGTTGCAACTAGGGCTGTCAAGTGATTAATCTGTTTAATCGCATGATTAAACAATAGAATACCACTTATTTAAATATTTTTGGATGTCTTCTACATTTTAAAATACATTGCTTTTAATTACAACACAGAATACAAAGTGTACAGTGCTCACTTTATTTTTGTATTACAAATATTCGCAGTTAAAATTCACTTAATATAAGTAGTGTAGTGCAATCTCTTTACCATGAAAGTTGAATTTACAGATGTAGAATTATGTACAAAAAATAACTGCAACTCAAAAATAAAACGAAGTAAAACTTTAGAGCTTACAAGTCCACTCAGTCCTACTTCTTGTTCAGCCAATCACTCAGACAAACAAGTTTAGTTACAATTTGCAGGAACTAATGCTGCCTGTTTCTTGTTTACAACGAAAGTGAGAAAAGACGATCGTATGGCACTGTTTGTAGCCAGCGTTGCAAGATATTTACATGACAGCTGTGATAAAGATTCATATGTCCCTTCAGGCTTCAACCACCATTCCAGAGGACGTGCATCCATACTGATGACAAGTTCTGCTCAATAACGATCCATAGCAGAGCGGACCGATGCATGTTCATTTTCATCGTCTGAGTCAGATGCCACCAGCACGAGGTTGATTTTCTTTTTTGGCGGTTTGGGTTCTGTAGTTTCTTCCACATTAGAGTGTTGCTCTTTTAAGACTTCTAAAAGCATGCTCTCAGATTTTGGACGGCGCTTCAGATACTTAAACGTGGGGTCAAGTATTGCAGCTATTTTTAGAAATCTCACATTAGTACGTTCTTTGTGTTTTGGCAAATCTGCTGTGAAAGTGTTCTTAAAATGAACATGTTCTGGGTCATCATCCGAGACTGCTATAACATGAAATATGGCAGAATGCAGGTACAATAGAGCAGGAAACATACAATTCTACACAAAGGAGTTCAGTCACAAATGTAATTAACACTTTTTTTTTAAACAAACATCAGCATGGAAGCATGTCTGCTGGAATGGTGGCCAAAACATTTGTATGCCCCTTCATGCATCAGACACATAAGCACTTTGCAAGGCCGGCTACAAAAGTGCCATGCGAATGCCTGTTCTCACTTTCTGGTGACATTGTAAATAAGCGGGCAGCAGTATCTCCAGTAACTGTAAATAAAGTTGTTTGTCTTAGCAATTGGCTGAACAAGTAGGACTGAGTGGACTTGTAGGCTCTGAAGGTTTACATTGTTTTTGAGTGTGGTTATGTAACAAAAAGGACAGAGTAGGCCTGTTACTCAATGAGGGGGGAAAGACAATAATAGAATATGTGGAAATGGGAGAGGTGCTTAATGACTTCTTTGTTTCACTTTTCACCAAGAAGATTGGTGGTGAGTGGACAGTTAACATAGTGAATGCCAGTGAAAATGAGGTAGGATCAGAACCTAAAATAGGGAAAGAACAAGTCAAAAATTACTTAGACAAGTTAGATGTCTTCAAATCACCAGGGTCTGATGAAATGCATCCTAGAATACTCAAGGAGCTGACTGAGGAGATATGAGCCATTAGCAATTATCTTTGAAAAGTCATAGAAGACAGGAGACACTCCAGAAGAATGAAAAAGGGCAAATATAGTGCCCATTGTGACAGACCCAGACCAGTGGGGTACAGGAGTCTGGTAGAGGGCAAATATACTGGTCACTGGATGAGTAGTTTTCTGTTCCCTGAGTGACCAGAGCAGGGGCTGCACTAGAGTAATCAGGAACCTGCTAGAACCAGGTAAGGCAGGCAGGCTAATTAGAATACCTGGAGCCAATTAAAAAGAAGCTGCTAGAATCAATTAAGGCAGGCTAATCAGGGCACCTGGGTTTTAAAAAGAGCTCACTTCAGTTTGTGGTGGGAGTGAGGAGCACAAGCGTTATCAGACACCAGGAGGAAGGTTCTGTGGTGAGAATAAGGAAGTTGTTTGGAGAAGGCCATGGGGAAGTAGCCCAGGGAGTTGTAGCTGTCATGCAGCTGTTACAGGAGGCACTATAGACAGCTGCAGTCCCCAGGGCCCTGGGCTGGAACCCGGAGTAGAGGGCGGGCTCAGGTTCCCCCCAAACCTCCCAATTGACCTGGACTGTGGGTTCTTCCAGAGGGGAAGGTCTCTAGGCTGTTCCAACCCACATGGTGAATCTCTGAGGCAAGAAAATCCACCAATAAGCGTAGGACCCACCAAGATAGAGGAGGAACTTTGTCACACCATCTATAAAAAGGGAAAGAAGGACAACCCAGGGAATTACAGACCAGTCAGCTTAACTTCTGTACCTGGAAAGATAATGGAGCAAATAATTAAACAATCAATTTGTAAACAACTAGAAGATAAGTTGTTAAATAATAGTCAGAATGGATTTGTCAAGAACAAATTGTGTCAAATCAACCTGATAGCTTTCTTTGACAGGTTAACAAGCCTTGTGGATAGGGAGGAAGCAGTAGATGTGGTATATCTTGACTTTAGTATGGCTTCTGATACTGTCTCACATGACCTTCTCATAAACAAACTTAGGGAAATACAACCTAGATGGAGCTACTATAAGGTGGGTGCATAACTGGTTGGAAAATCGTTCCCAGAGAGTAGTTATCAGTGATTCACAGTCATGCTGGAAGGGCATAACGAGTGGGGTCCTGCAGGGACTGGTTCTGGGTCCAGTTCTTTTCAATAATTTAGCTAATGGCATAGAGAGTACACTAAACTAGGAGGGCTTGCAAGTGCTTTGGAAGATAGGGTTAACATTCAAAATGATCTGGACAAACTGGAGAAATGGTCTGAAGTAAATAGGATGAAATTCAGTAAGGACAAATGCAAAGTACTCCACTTAGAAAGGACCAATCAGTTGCACACATACAAAATGGGAAGTGACTGCCTAAGAAGGAGTACTGCGGAAAGGGATCTGGGGGTCATAGTGGATCACAAGCTAAATATGAGTTAACAGTATAACACTGTTGCAAAAAAAGCAAACATCATTCTGGGATATATTAGCAGGAGTATTGTAAGCAAAAAATGAGAAGTAATTCTTCCACTCTACTCCGCACTGATTAGGCCTCAACTGGGTATTGTGTCCAGTTCTGGGTGCCACATTTCAGGAAAGATGTGGACAAATTGGAGAAAGTTCAGAGAAGAGCAACAAAAATGATTAAAGGTCTAGAAAACATGACCTATGAGGGAAGATTGAAAAAAATTGGGTTTGTTTAGACTGGAGAAGAGAAGACTGAGAGGGGACATGATAAGTTTTCAAGTACATAAAAGGTTGTTATAAGGACGGGGGGGGGGGGGAATTGTTGTTTTTAACCTCTGCGCATAGGACAAGAAGCAATGGGCTTAAATTGCAGCAAGGGCGGTTTAGGTTGGACATTAGGAAAAACTTCCTAACTGTCAGAGTGGTTAAGCACTGGAATAAATTGCCTAGGGAGGGTGTGAAATCATCATTGTGGATTTTAAGAGTAGGTTGGACAAACACCTGTCAGGGATGGTCTAGATAATACTTATCTGAATGCAGGGGACTGGACTAGATGACCTCTCGAGGTCTGTTCCAGTTCTTTCAAAAAAAAAATCTACATTTGTAAGTTACATTTTCACAATAAAGAGATTGCACTGCAGTACTTCTATGAGGTGAATTGAAAAATACTATTTTTTGCTTGTTTTTACAGTGCAAATATTTGTAATAAAAAAGTGTGAGCACTGTACACTTTATATTCTGTGTTTTAATAGAAATCAATATATTTGAAAATGTAGAAAAACATCCAAAAATATTTAATAAATTTCAATTGATATTCTATTGTTTAACAGTGCAGTTAATTTTTTTTGAGTTAATCATGTGAGTTAACTGCAATTAATCGACAGCCCTAGTTGATATATACGTTTAAAGAACTAGCTTTCCAGATAGCCCCCTTCTTATTCTTATTGCCTGAACTTCCTCCTTCATTATCACTCTTGTGCCCTAATCAGATGCTTTTGAATTTCCTATTCCCAGCTAACTTCTCCTCTGTAAGCTCCCTCATCTTCTTTCCTGTTCCTGAGCTTTAGTCTTCCCTCCTTACTAGAACATCTGTCCCCATGCCTTAGAAAAACTTTTACTGCCTAGTGTCCCTAGCATCGATTACTACTTGTTGTAGTGAGGCTTATTTTTAGGAGATGAGAACTTATGACCTTTTTTTAAAAAGGGCCTCATAATACTTGTCTTTATAGAAACTGAACATAACACTACACAGCAATATAAACATTTCTAGAAAGGTCAACTAAGAGGTCATGAGGACTAAACATAGTAAGCCATGACCTTATTGTTAATACGGTTGAATGACTAGTGAGCCATTAAACTGTTTATTTGGTTACAGGTCTCTGGTTACCTGCATTTTGTAACATCATATAATAATCTAGGTGCTCAGCTGCTATAAATAGGTATAGCTGCATTTAAGTCAAGGAAGCTATGCCAACTTATGCAAGATGAGGTGCTCTCCCTTTGAGGATGGGAAAAGTCTGAAATAGAAATTTGGTGTTTTATCTTAGTACTTTTGAACAATGTATAGGCAACAAACGCTGGAAGACCTGTTGGCTTTTCCAGGGAGGTAAGTTTCTAGGTAGCTGCACTTCCTTCAAAATATTTCTAAGAGTAGGAGACGATTATATTGGAAAGAAGTACATTTTTAAAAGAACTCTACCTTTTATACTTGATTAGTAATGAAACTAAAACCAGACTGCTACCACATCATTGCCCTGTCTTCCTCAGTAGACTAGTATAACTAAACTCTATATTGTGAAAAAACCCATTAAAAATAGCATTTGTTTCTTACTCTGTCTTCACAGGAGGCTTTACTTCAGGAATTAATTCAAGTGCATTTTGCCAGTGCTGAGGTACTTCAACAAAATCTCTGTAAACCCTGATCTGTAGAACTGTTCCTATGGGAATATTGTGCAAAAGTTGCCAAAGCTCTCGCAGTGTCCACCCTAAAACGTTAGCGTGTCCAATTTTAATCAAAATATCACCTGCCAGGGGAAAAATTCAAGAGTATTCAGTATAAAAATCCCAACTCTATACAGTAACTCCTCACTTAAAGTCGTCCCAGTAAACGTTTCATTATTACGTTGCTGAGCAATTAGAGAACATTCTCGTGTAAAGTTGCACAATGCTCCCTTATAACGTTGTTTGGCATCCACCTGCATTGTCCACTGCTTGCAGAAAGAGCAGCCCATTGGAGCTAGCTGGTGGGGGCTTGGAACCAGGGTGGACCGCCCACCCCCCCCATCAGCTCCCCGCTCCCCTAAGTTCACTGTGTGGCAGCTGCCCAGCAGGTTATCGATTGCCAGGCAGTTCAGCTGTCCCTCCCCCCACTGCCTTGGAGCTGCTCCTGGGAGCCTCCTGCTTGCTGTGCAGACAGGGAAAAGAGGGATGCTAATGTCAGGGTGTCCCCCCCTAGTCCCCGCTCCTTTATCCCATCTCCACAGAGCAGTGGAGGGACACAAGAGGGCTCAGGACGGAGGGAGTTTGCTGGCAGCAGCTGCTGTCGCAACTTGCTGATCGACTTAAAAAGGTAGTGTACTTAAAGTCGGGACAGCGTACTTAAAGGGGCAATGTGCATCTCTCTCATACACGGTGTGTGTGTCTCTGTCTCTCTCTGCCATGCTGTCTCCCCTCCCTCCGTTCGTGCTGCCTTGTAGAGTGTGAGGCTACATTAACAACAATGTGTTAACCCTTGAGGGCTCAGCTGAGTGCTAGTTCATCATTTAGCAATAAGGCATTCCCTGGGAAATATCCCACCCTTTTCCACCCTGACTTCACCACCTCAACCAAGCTTCACAATCATCACTGCTGTGTACAGTATTAAATTGCTTGTTTAAAACTTATACTATGTGTGTGTGTATATATATATATATATATATATATATATATATATATGTCTTTTATCTGGTGAAAAAAATTTCCCTGGAACCTAACTCTCCCTATGTACATTAATTCTTATCGGAAAATTGGATTCGCTTAAACTAGCATTTTTCAGGAACATAACTACAATGTTAAGCGAGGAGTTAATATATATCTTCTGTTCACAGACCATAATTTAAAATGGCTGCATGAATTTGATACCCCTGATTAAATAGTACCCTTATTCTCCTTTTGTCAAACTGTCTTAAGATATTTTCACTTTAGTTAGAAATGTTAACTACAATCAGGCTATTACTCAGATGACTAAAGAACTATTACATTTGTTCCAAGAGGCAGCATATGATGACAATCCTAATTTATGGAGACATGAATTTATTGTTTTGAAAGTCTTATGTCAAGACTTCTGACAACATGAAGAACAATTATTTGTTAAAAGCTGTCAGCTGTGAAAGCACATCCAGTGTCCAGAAAGGAGAAATTTTATCTACAGTAAAAGTGTCATTTTCCCATTCCTGTGCCCAAGCAAATGTTCATTAGAATAGGAGAGGGTCTACCTTTAAAAAAATAATAATAAATAAAAATCCCCATTTCAACAGAGGACCTCTGTTCATGAACTTCAGTTAGTGGGGTCCAAGAACCAGGAATAATAATAAAATAAAATATTGAAAGAAGTTCACAAGCCATAAGGACCAGGAGAACTGGAGGCTGCCAAGTTCAACTGCAGTAGTGAGATTACTGACATTTGCTGCACCCTGGTTCTCTTAGTATCCTCAAGGCATCAGGGCAGTAAGAGAGAAAAAAGGTGACTATGCTGAAACATCCAATTTTGTTCACTAAACCACTAGGCAATCCACCCTCTTTTGCCAAGGAAAGTATGGATAACCTAGTCTAGGGGAAACAAATGACCTAATACGTATCTTTTCCATTGTTAATTTTTATGACAACCTAAGCTGGGCTTTGAATGATTTTTTTTTGATCTTTAATCCTTTCAGATTGCTTTATATTAATTATTTTATAGTAAAATATGTTTATAGATGCATGTGTAAGAAAACTGCACATTACAGTGCAGCTATGAAATATTAGTATGAAACACAAGTAAGAAATTTGTTTTGGTCTTGAATACTTAAAGTAGGATGCATAACACAATGTTCCAATCCCGTTTATATTATATATAAAAGTTTGTGCAATTTAGATATGCCTTTTTCTTAATCTAATTAGGAAATAGTCACCTCTATCAGCCAATTTTAATCAAATTAAGACAATAGGAATTTTAATATAAAACTGGACTGGCTTCATTTATCAGTTGGATATTTCTGTGACATGAGCCTGACTCTCATATTGCTTGTACCAGTTCTATGCCACTATAATTCCACTGATTTAAGTAATATTACTCCTGATTTACATCAGCATAAATTAGGTCAAAAGCAGGGCAACAAAGTATAAACTCTGGAATGGAACATACCTATGAAATTCTGAAGATTAGGGTTGTGGTATTTTTTTTTACCTGGTTTGAGTCTTCCATTCTTAGCTGCAGAGCCTTTCTCAACCAGACTTGTCATCTGGAGATATGGTCCATTCTGAATTACTATAAGACCTAATCCTTGTTCTCCCATCTTAATATTGGTCTTTAATGTAGCACTTAAAGTATGTTCAGAGATCTTTTCCAGTGCCGGAAACTGCCCTTTGGAAAGTGAGAGGGACATTTTAATACTTGAAATTATGATATTGTGATTTTCTTACTCCACCATCACAAGCCCTAATTCAGCAAAGCAAGTAAGCAGGTACTTAAATCCATTCCATCAGCAAAGCACTTTAGTCTCACCTGCTTAAAGTTCAACATATGCTTAAGTGCTTTTCTGAATAGGGTGGGCTGCTGAATTGGTGCCAGAAAACACACCTATGTAAAAGTTACATTGTGTATTCCATAAATGATCTAAAAAGAAATATTTCTAAAATAGCTTTTTCTCAACACACTCAGAAGCCTGTTTCTAAAAGTTCACACACTGTATTGAGCAAAACAAACAAATATTGCTTACATTGTATATTACTTTAGATTCATTTTAAATGGCTGTATGCATTCAGGGAAGGAAGAGAACAAGGTAGAGAAATAACAGCACAGCGAGGCCACCAACTGTTAGAGCTTTCAAGAAAGCTGAAAATTTATATGAGAAAATTAATTTCCTGTGTCAATATTTTTGGATAAGATTCATATCCAAATTGCCAGCGGATGGGTTTTACACACTCCTGCTTGCATGAAGCAAGGGACTGGTGCTTGGCAAATGTATTTCATTTCTTTAGATGCTATACCCTGGGCATTCACTATCCATTAAAATGTGTAATATAAATAGTACACAATAAAGGACAGCTCATTCTAACTCGACTTCACCAGCGAACATAATGAAGATTACAAAATGAATCCTCCAACCTTCAGCTTGCCTCTGGACCAAAAGCCTGGAAAAATGATGAGATTGCAGCAAAAGTATATTAAAACAAGCTTTCTGTTTTAAGAAGATGTAAGCTTTGGGCTTCTGTGGCAGAAATACTACTCCTACTTTAAACTTATGCAGCACTTTCTCTCCAATGATTTCAAAGCACTTTATGAAAGTACCTAAGGATTACCACCATTTTATAGATGGAGGAGGGTAAAGCACAGAAAGATTAAAGGCATAAATTAAAATCCACTGAAGTCAATAGGAGTCTATTCATTGACTTCAGTGGGCTTGTGATCAGGCCTGAAGGGTATGTCTACACCTCAGCTGGGAGAGTGCTTCCCAGCCTGGGTAGACAGACTCACATTAGCTCCACTTGAACTAACACACTAAAATTAATGTTGACATTGTGGCACAGGGTAGCTCTCCAAGTATGAGTCCAACTAGCTCAGGTGGCTATTCTGTGCCGCCACCCATGCCACAATGTCCGCACTGCAATTTTAGTGCGCTATTTCAAGCAGAACTAGCTTATGTCTGTATACTGACGCACGGAGACATACTCCCAGTTAGTGTAAATATACCCTAAGTGATTTGCCCAAAATCATAGAATATCAGGGTTGGAAGGGACCTCAGGAGGTCATCTAGTCCAACCTCCTGCTCAAAGCAGGACCAATCCCCAGGCAGATTTTTGCCCCAGATCCCTAAATGGTCCCCTCAAGGATTGAACTCACAACCCATATCACATAGAAAGTCTGTACTATAATGAGGATTAGAATCCAAGTTTCCTGATTTCTGGCTCTGTATTCACTACACTAGATTACCCTGCAGCACATGACAGGAAGAATAAAAGCATAAAATAAGAGAGGGCCTGAGCCAAAGCCCATTGAAATGAATGGAAAGACCTCCCCATTGACTCCAATGGGCTTTGGATCACGCTCTTGATTCTATCCTCACCTGATATTGACCCATTTCCATAATCTCCAGGGAAAGTGTCTGGATTTCTTTTTTGTTCTGTAGGGAGAGAAAATCGGAAACTTTACAAACCTTACCCTGCAGCACCCCTACATGACTCATAAAGCTCTGCAAGGCCAACCCTAAATTCTGCAGGTCTTCTGAATGAAGTAATATCCAGCTCTCTTCCCCTGAAGTGACATTCTCTCCTCTAGCCATCTGCCCTGTATCCCACTGCAGATTTTATGAGAATGCAATATGTATCAAACTACTCAACCGTCCACCCCTCCAAAAGAAGAGGTGTCTCTGGATGCTGAGACGTGGGGTGACAAAGGTCTAGGAAGGAGGCAAGTAATCTGGTCATAGGTATAGTGGTAACAAGAGGATGCCCAAAGCTTGGAACCCCTTCAAATGCAGAGTTTGGGGCTTTTCCTGAAGTACTGGGGTGATGGTGGGAAGATGGGAGAACAGGAAAGGACGCAACAGGTTGGGAGGGAATTAAAACTCATTTGGTTTCATTTTCACCGGCTGGTGTATCAGAAGCTTCTGCCCCTTCCATGGATCCCAGACTATGAGAAAATCAAATGGACAAATGTCTCAGGCGTGTCTCTTTGAAAGCAGCTGTCTCCCCATGGTGGCCTGTGGGGGGAAGAACAGAGCAGCAGGTGAGGAGGAGTTTTCAAACACCCAGTAACTGTTTAGAATCCTAGGGCAGTCAGGTTCTGAGTCTCCCACAGTCCCCAGCTACTGGAGACCATAAAAGCCTCACCATGCAGTAGACACACACAGACACGCTGGCCAGGATTCAAGCTTTCAATATTTCCTTGCTTGGTGACAGATGTGGGGGAAGTTTTCGGTTTGGCTAGGTATGTGTTGCTGATTGCTATATTGGCTGGATTATTTCAGTCTAGCACAGCAACTTTGCCAATGGCTGCAGTTCAGACTCTCTTTCTAAAGCTCCAATTCTGCCTAAACTCTTATGCGCATATGAGCCACACAGAGTGTCACTTCTGTACCACATTGTTGAATCTTCACATATCCTTAGGAATGTATTCTTCTTTCAATAATCCTCAATTCAGCAATAATAGTCCATTATGATAATTTGTGACCTAAGAAAAGACAGTACTGGGACACAATTTATCTTAAAGATTGCTGAATCACATTGTTAATACATCATTTTAAATCCTTAGCTCTCCCATCTCTGCCACATACCAACTATCCCTACTCAGAAGGAACGATTCCAGGGTTTTTTTTTCAACTAATATATTACTATTTTCAATCCCTCTTAAATATCTGTCCAGAGCAGGATGTTTCAACAGAAGCTGAAGATAGATCCTATCCTCCTACCCTGGTCTGAAAAAAAAACAGCAGAAAACAAAACAAACAACCCCCTGCCCCCAATTTATTGCTTTTGAATGCTGTTTAGATGTTTTTAGTAGTATCTTCTTTGTTATTGCTTGCTACCTCCCATCTGGCAAGTGACTTGAGCACAGATGATTGCTATTATTTTTTGGTTGCATAGGAGATTCACATAATAGGCAACTGGATAACCACCTGCTTGGAGTTCGTCTGCCAGCTATACTTTGTTTAGGCCAGGATTATGGCTTCTCTGTAAAGCTGAGTAGGCATTGGCAGGAAGAGGTATTGCTAGTATTTTCAGCATTTTTTAAAGCTACCTGTGGATTTTGGGCTGCTAGACTTTAGAATTTACAATAGCAATAATCGTACAACATTCTCACATCACTGGGAGCAAGACTAAGGCACAGAGTTATAATTTTGATAACCAGTAGGACCAAGGGTGGGATGAATGCTCAGTTGTTCCAAGCATTCTCTTTTAGATGGAGTTACTTACTGGAAAAATCATGTAATCAATAGTCACTGTATTTGGATTAGTTTTCCAGATAAGGTTAATTAGATTTGCTTCCAGACACCTACTAATACAGATAATAATAATTAGCACTTTGATAGCGTTTTACATTTTCAAAGTGCTACAGAAACATGAATTAATCAATCCTGACAATGTCCCAATTTTTATCCTTATTTTGCACATGTTGCAACTCTAACACTTTGAAATTAAGCAACTTGCCCAACGTCACAAAGTTTGATAGTGGTCAAAACCTGAATTAGAACCCAGGAGAAAGGGTGGTGGTGTGATTAAAGCACTGGTCTGTGATTCAGCAGATCAGAGTTTGATTTCTGACTTTTCTATTGCCTTCCTATACAACTTGAGCAAGTCACTTACTCTAGTCTCTCTGCACTTTGATTCCCCATGCATAAAATAGAGACAATATTTCTCTTACTTCATAAGGGTGTTGTGAGGATGTCTATTAATGTTGTGAAGTGCTCACATACTACAGTAATGGAGGTCATATAGGTAGACAGACATATAGATTTTCTATCTCATGAGTCAGTAGCTGTGGTAGATCAAAGCTCAATCCCCCCTAGACTACACTGCCTTCAGTTAAGAAGTACTTAACACTTTCAGGACATTACTGCACAGTGGAGCAAGCCAGGCAACAGTGCCTTGATATTTACATATTTAGGATGCCTCCAATTCTTTGATCATTGGGTACCAATCTCCACAGCCAAGCTTAAAGGATTATGACATGCCTGCTGACAGTGGGGAGCAAAAGGGGCAATTGCCCAGAGGCCCGGGCGATTTAAAAGGGCCTGGGGGCACCCAGCCACCACCACCGGCAGCGCAGCAGGGCTAAGGCAGGCTTCCTGCCTGCCCTCACTCCACACCGCTCCCAGAAGCGGCCAGAACGGCCCTACGGCCCTTGGAGGGGAGGGCAGGGGGTCTCCATGTGCTACCCCTGCCTCGAGCACCAACTCCGCGGCTCCGATTGGCCGGGCAGCAGCGTGCAGAGATGGAGGTCCCCCGCCTAGGAGCCGCTTCCAGAGGGGTTTGCCGGTTGCTTTCGGGAGCTACCCGAGGTAAGCGCCAAACTCCTGACCCTACTCCTGCACCCCAACCCCCGCCTAGAGATAACACCCCACAACCAAACTCCCTCCCAGAGCCCACACCCCGCACTCCCTCCTGCACCCAAACTCTCTCCCAGAGCCTACACCTCCTCCTGCAGCCCAACCCTCTGCCCCAGTCTGGTGAGAGTGAGTGAGGGTAGGGGAGAGTGAGCAACAGAGGGAGGGGGGATAATGTGAGAAGGGGCAGGGTAGGGGTGTGGCCTCAGGGAAGGGGCAGAGCAGGGGTGGGGCAAGGGTCTTTGGGTTTGTGCAATTATACAGTTGGCAACCCTACTGGGCAGGCATGTGGAAACCCTGGCTGTGCCAGAAGAACACGCCCAGCAGCGCAGCCGGCAGCTCACTGGGCACCAGCCAGCGCAGGTGCAGCACCACCCAAATGTCAGGTGGATCACGGTCGCGCAGGCGCAGCTTGTGCATGCATGAGAGCCCCTTGACTGTTCTGCCCTGGGGCCGGAAATTGCCCTGCAGGCCTGGATTATGGGGTGCACTGCCTTCATTTCTGCAGCAAATGCCCCAGACCCCCACCCCAAAGGGAGGAACTTGCTCCCTTCAGCACGAGGCCTTCACTCCCAAAACAGGAGGGAGTCTCCCCACCCCAAAATGAGAGACTCTCCCCCCAAAACAGGGAGTCTCCCCACACAAATAAGAGCCCCCCCCAAAAAACCCTGTGGGATTCTTCCCTCCCCAAATACAAGCCCCCTTCTAAGAAAGCCGCCTTCCAAACGAGAGCCCTCCCCGCACCAAAACTCCTCCATTCCCCAGCATGAATGGACTCTCCCTGCTCCAGCCCCATAATCCCGCCCCTCCTGTGCTACACCACTGGGGGGGAGAGGGGGAGGCAGCCAGGCTCCAAAGGGCTGACAGCACCTCTTAGAAAGGCCCCGCCCCTACCTGCCCCAATACCCGTTAGAAACACCTCGTCCCCCCTCTCCATGTCTACCCACCCCTTGGAGAAGCCCTGTCCCTCACTTGATCCCCGCCCCGCCCATTTTCAAAAGCCACGCCCACTACACTATCCGCTCCGCCCCTCCCCCCTAGAGAAGGCTGGTCTAGTCTCATGGGATCCCCGCCCCGTCTCCGTGGAGGCTCCGCCCCCTCATGGAAGCCCTGCCCCGTCTGGGGAAAATGTGAAGGAGAGTGGGTTTCACTTCCGGAGCACCTTGTCCCCACCCCCGGGTTCACTTCCGGTGTTGTCGGGAAAGGGGGGTCCCCGTTCTTGGTACTGCTGCCGGAGGGAGGGTGGGAGTTGAGGTCTCATGGAGCCGTAGCTGTGAGGAGTCCCCGGCCCGGGCCCGGTGTGGGAGCCGGGCGGAGGCTGGACACGGGAGCCCCCGGAGCCGGAGGAGATGGACAAACTGACCATCATCTCAGGATGCCTCTTTCTGGCCGCCGACATCTTCGCCATCGCGAGCCTGGCGAACCCGGACTGGATCAACACCGGGGAGTCCGCGGGTGAGAGGCTGAGCGGGCCTGGAGCGGATCAACAGCGAGGGGTCAGGGGGGAGGAGTGGATCAAAGCCAGGGCTCCGGGGTGGTGGTGAGGGGGCCCGGACTGGGTAAGCAGCAGGTGAAGGGGGCTGGGGGAGCTGGATCGTTCCTTACTGGGGAGCCTGTGGGTGAGGGGGCTGGGGGACTCCGGCTGGAACTGGGAACATGCGGCGGGAGCGGGCGCAGGGCCACTGGGAGTGGGTCAGCACCACAGAGCCTATGGCTGGGAGGCGACGGGCACAGCCTGAATTGACACCAGGAGCCTTCGGATGAGGAAGCTGAGGGACGGGGACTAAGTCACAGGGAGCAGTCAAGGTGGAGTGGTGGGGACCCTGCTTAAATGAATATGTGTGGGGAGTTCCCAGGTGAAGGAGGATGGTAGTTCTGAGTATTGGCGAAACCTGGACTAGATAATCTTTGGGGAGTCAGAGATGAGAGGGGCTTGGACTGAGGGGTACTGCAGAGTCTGAGCTGAGAAGTTGATATTCTAGCTGGTCGGGACAGGATATATTCTGGTGGAAATCTATAGAAGGGCTCGAGGGACATGGGGCAGGTGAGTCTGGCCAACACGGGTCTGGATCAATGGGAGTAATCTATGGATTGGGTGAGCTATTCTGTGAGAGGAAACTCTGCAGGTGAGAGATTCTAGGGCACTGCCTGGCCAATTTGAACTGGATCAGTATTGGGGGAAATATGTGTGCGTAGCTAGGCAACCATATTGGATTAAAAATGGTGAGAGATGTGGACAAGAAGACAGTTTGGTTTGGATCAGTGCTGGAATATCTCGTGATGAGATCTGAAGTGGGATCAATCCTGGGTAGTCCACAATAAGAGAGTGCAGATTGTTCAGCCTCACCAGCCCAGACTGGATCAAGACCAGGTTGTGGAGTCACAGAGAATACCAGCCTGGCTGAATTGGACTGGAGTAATAACAGTAAGTTCACACTGAGAAAACCCTGGGATAAGGGGCAAGATGGAGCCTGATCTGTCAACTCAGTCAGAACATAAGAATGGCCATACTGGTTCTGACCAGTGGTCCATCAAGCCCAGTATTCTGTCTTCCAAAAGTGGCCTGTGCCAGATGCTTCAGAGGGAGTGAACAGAAAAGGTCAGTGTATTGAGAGATTCATACCCTGTCCTCCAGTACCAGCTTCTAGCAGTCACAGATTTAGGGACACCCGGAGCATGGGGTTGCATCCCTGATCATCTTTGCTAATAGCTATTGATGAACCAGTCCTCCACGAACTTATCTAATTCACTTTGAACCCACTTATACTTTTGGCCTTCACAAGATCCCATGGCAACAGGTTCCACAAGTTGACTGTGCATTGTATGAAGAAGTACTTCCTTATGTTTGGTTTAATCCTGCTGTTTATTAATTTAATTGGGTGACCCCTGGTTCATGTTTTATGTGAAGGGGTAAATAACATTTCCTTATTCACTTTCTCCACACCATTATTGATTTTATAGACCTCTATCATATCCCCCATCATTTGTCTCTTTTCCAAGCTGAACAGTCCCAGTCTTTTTAATCTCTCTTTATGTGGAAGCTGTTCCCAACCCTTAATCATTTTTGTTGCACTTCTCTCTGCTTTTTCCCATTCTAATATATCTTTTTTTGAAATTGGGCAACCAGAACTGCATACAGTAGTCAAGCTATGGGTGTATCGTGGATTTATATAAAGGCATTATGATATTCTCTGTCTTATTATCTATCCTTTTCCTAATGGTTCCCAACATTCTGCTAGCTTTTTTGACTTCTGCACATTTATCAGATGTTTTCAGAGAACTATCCATGATGACTCCAAGATCTCTTTCTTGAGTGGTAACAGTTAATGTAGACCCCATCATTTTGTATGTATAATTGGGATTATGTTTTCCAACGTGCATTACTGTGCATTTATCAATGATGAATTTCATTTGCCATTTTCTTGCCTAGTTTTGTGAGATCCGTTTGTAACTCTTTGCAGTCTGCTTTGGACTTAACTACTCTGAGTAATTTTGTATTGTCTGCAAACTTTCCCACCTCACTGTTTACCCTTTTTTCCAGATCATTTATGGATAACTTTGAACAGCTCTGGTCCCAGTACAGCTTCTTGGGGGATTCTGCTATTTATCTCTATCTACTATAAAAACTGACCACTTATTCCTAGCTATTGTATCTTTTCCCTAGTTACTGATCCATGAGAGCAGTCATGGGATAAGGTCCTTACTTTGCTTAAGAGCCTTTGGTGAGGAACCTTGTCAAAGGCTTTCTGAAAGACCAAATACACTATGTCCACTGGATCACCTCTGTCCACATGTTTGTTGACAGCTTCAAATAATTCTGATACATTGGTGAGGCATGACTTCCCCTTACAAAAGCTGTGTTGACTCTTCCCAACTTATCGTGTTCATCTACAGTTTCAACTAATTTGTCTAGTACTGAAGTCAGGCTTACTGGCCTGTAATTGCCAAGATTGCCTCTGTAGCCTTTTTTAAAAATTAGTGTCACATTAGTTATCCACCAGTCATCTGGTACAGATGCTGATTTAAGTGACAGATTGTATACCACAAAAACAACACAGTTAGTAGTTTCATATTTGAGTTCCTTCAAAACTCTTGGCTGAATACTATCTGGTCCTGGTGATTTATTATTGTTTAAATTAATGTTCTGATCTAATGCTTCTGTGCTGAACTTTGCTGCCATCCTATCTATGATCAGGGGTGGCTGCTGGTTCAGAGATGTTGCTGCATAATGCATAGCGCAGGGACAGCTGGACAGCAGTTTTTAGAAGAAAAGAGGATTTAGAATAGGTTACTATCAGCTTCTGTGTTATAAGTTTGTGCTGAGATTCTCTTTTGATTTTCCCCCTGCCCCCACACAACTTTCACATCTTCACTGCTTGATGTTTAGGCCCTGCCAGAGGGTTTAAATAAACTCATTGAAATGTAGACTATTAATGAACAGTGGTGGTTCATAGATTTCTAATTTTGGTGTAGCAAAGCAATTAGAAACAAGTCAGCTTTTAGGGGTTGATTAATGTTTAGCCACAGGAGTGCCCAGTCATTCAATATGGGAGTTGGGGCGGCGTTTTAGGTACCCCAGTCTATTGTTATGGAAACTTTTTGCCCCTTGCTAATGGCACTGAGGAAAACAATAGGGCATTTCCCCCTTCCAGAGTTAAGCATGCAAGGACCTCCTAGCTGACTACATCACTTTTCCTATAGCTAGTTGTGATTATCTCCCTTATGCCTTGTCTGCGGGTCAGTTGTCTTCTGTTATAACTCTGCTACTACGCGGAACTCTAGGTAGTGAGCCATTGTGCAGGGATTTTTAAATCTAATAAAGTTGAATATGTTTAAAATATGTAGATATGATTTTCTTTTGTAAATCACCGCTCATGTTGTTCTATCACACAGACCTGGAAGGGCTCAACAGGCTTCTGTTTGTTTCCTATCACACTGGACCCATGTGCTCTTAAGCTTTCCTTGATCTGAGTAGACTGCAGCCCTGTCTTTTTCTTTTGCTTCTCTGACATGCTTCCTTGATACAGGCTCTGTCTGTTACCCCTTCATGGAGATGGTGCCCCAAGGCCCTGCCGGCTTAGGCCTCCAGGACTAGTGCTCCCAAATAGCTTAAGCATACCCTTTCCCAGAGGTCCAACCTTGTGGGTGCTCTTCAGGGACACATGGTAGTAGGGGGCAGGGTGGATGAGAAACAGACACAGACTTTGTAAGGGATCCCAAAACCCAATCATACTACTTTAGATAGCACAAAAGATATACAGACCTAGGCAAAACAATAAAACATCTATGTGCCTTTCCTTGTCTCAGTTTTCTCACTGCTTTTAGATGTTCTTTGGACTCAGGTCAGATTCGTCTAAGGCAATGGTTCTCAACCAGGGGTATGCAGAGATCTTCCAGGGGGTACATCAACTCATCTAGATATTTGCCTAGTTTTACCACAGTCTACATAAAAAGCACTAGCAAAATCAGTACAAACTAAAATTTCATAAATTTCTTTTTTATACTGCTCTATATACTAGACACTGAAATATAAATACAATATTTATATTCCAATTGCTCTATTTTTGTAATATGGTAAAATTATAATTTTCCAGTAATAGTGTGCTGTGACACTTGAATTTTTATGTCTGATTTCGTAAGCAAGTAGTTTTTAAGTGAGGTGAAACTTGGGAGTAAGCAAGACAAATCAGCCTCCTGAAAGGGGTACAGTAGTCTGGAAAGGTTGAGAACCACTGCTCTAAGGAGTCTAGGAACAGCCCCCTCCTGCACATGGCTTCTCCTCCTAATCACCCAGTTGCCTTCTTCCTCTGCTGCTTTCACAGTTAAACAGGATCCCCTGCTATGAAAGCCTGCCCCTCTCTCCTTCTTCCTCTTCCTTGCTCTGTGAGTTCCTTGAGTTTATAAGGGCTTGTCTGCATGGTGAGTTGCTGCGCAGCAAGCCAGAGTGTGATGCTACAGCACACCAGCTTGCTGTGCAGTAACTTACTGTATAGACATGACTACGGTGGCGTGTGGCTTAGTGTGCTACTACTTCAGAGTGTAGTATGCCAAGCCATGCTCTGGGACTTTCACTGCGCTGTAGCAATTTTATGGCAAATTACTGTGTGGCAACCTGGTGTGCTGAAGATTCACACCTTGTCTTGTGCAGTAACTTGCATGTAAATAAGCCCTTAGTCCTGTTACTAACACCTACTTCGTTTGTTCTGCTGCTGTAGAAATTTTGCTGCTACAAACCCCAGCCCACTTCATGGAATCTGGAGAAAACTGGCTTCCACCAGACTTTAGCCATCTCGTTCTCTCTGGGGCAGGTCTGCTCACTAGTAGGAGGCCCTTAGTTACTGTCTCTTTCAAAGGCAGACTTTGGACAGGGAACATGAGTTAAGAATATGGTAAATGGCTTAAGTATACAGAGTTCATAATATCAAACAAGTTCCTTAATTGCACATACACAGATT